ACACACACACACACACACACACACACGCTCCATCAAATTCATGATGACTGTTTTCAATATGTTATTTTCCACTTTGTTGACACATGATGCATGTATGGATTTAACTTTGACCCAGGCCCAACAGTAAACAGTTAATTGCTGTTTGTCCTGTTCAGAGTGTCAGGGACTTGATGTTTGTTAGAGAACTCAGATAAGTCGCTGCAGCTCTACATCTGAGCAATGGACTTCAATAAAACTCACCCACTCTCAAAAAGTACTTTCTTTTAAAGTGTAAAGCCTGAACATTGATTTAGAACAAATTGTTTTCCTTTTGATCACATAAGATCAAATCTGATTCTAATCAGAATTTGACACAGTGTAGCTGCAGTTTTAAATCTGACCAGACAACTTACAAGAGCAGGAGGAAGTGGGCCAAACACTCCATTAGACACAGTGACCTTGTGCAGCTCTCTGAAGCATCTCAGTGTGTCTCGGTCTCTTCCTCCGTCTCCCTCATTGAAAATAAAGATTGCCAAGCAGCTGCCATGTCACCGGACGGATGTGAGTGATGGAGGGTCTCACACGACTCCTTCCACCGTGGACAGGAAGAAAGAAACACTATGTCCTACAACACTTGAATGTCAACTGTGGACCACTGCTGTGCTATATCCCCCTCTGTTGGTGATCGTTAGTACACAGACCTCCACTGTCTCCTACATGTAACAGCTGCTCTCAGGCAACTTCAATGCAAATATGGCAGAGCAACTTTTCCTGTGAAAGTGCAGCTACTGCACCGGAGTTCTATGCTGTTGAATTAGAGCTGAAACAATCGGAGAGTAGAATAAACAGAAACAGGATTGTGGTGCTAATTAAAGGTCAATTATAGTTGTGCACTGTGGCTGATTCATTGCACCAGCAGTGAGTACGTGCAAAATATCCCAGGCTTGTATATTTGTGTGTGTGTGTGTATGTGTGTGTTTGTGMGTGTGTGTGTGTGAGTGGATTAACATTGTGTTGCAATTACAAACTAGTTTCTTTTATCGTGAATTTTGATTTTCTCTTTTAACATCAATCTCATAATCATAATCAAGAACCCATATCAATTAACAATCTGAGAGCTGATGCATTTGCGCTCCACTGTTTTTTTCAAACCGTGTCCTTCGCCCTCAGATTCTGCAGATTCACATGCAGCATCTGTTCATAGAGTTTATTTATTGGGTAATGGGCAGCACAGAGTGGTTTCTCACTACATCTACACTTCTGTCAATTGCATTGGAAGAACATCAATAATAATTAGTAATAATTCAACAATTAATTTGTAATAAAGAACATCAAAGCCAATCTGCAGAATGAGTGATTAGTCTACATTTTATTGAAAATATTACAATTTTAGTCAATAAAAAATCAAATGTATTACTCTGAACCGAAATTATCCATAAAATAGGTATTTTACAGGAAGGAAATCACGTGTTCACTGCACTTTCTACTGACTTCAGTGACCAGTAGATGGCAGCAGATTCCATATTACAGTTTCTATTATACCCACTTCAGCCTGTACAGGCGTCACCGACTCATCTGATGCATTAGTGCTTCAATCCAACTTTTGGGAAAACAAATGAGGGATTTCTTTTTTCTTTTTTTTCGTCCACACACGCAAAGTCTCTGATTGGCTGCAAGTTTTTTTTCCCCTTTGCTAAACCTCCCTCTATAAAAACCTATGATGGTATGAAAGCTTCAGTCTTTGTGCGCAGCAGAGCAAAAATTGATGGAATTACTGATTTGCAAGAGGAAAAGTCAACTTTGAAAGCTGGATGAACTTGTGGACTATCACTTCTAACATCAGAGTTAAGGCTGTTATTTCACGTTTGGGTTAAATTTCTCAGTTTATCATCTTTCTAACGGTTTCTGAACTCGGGAGCAAGTGATCTTTACGCCCAGATTGCGCCATGGCGAACTCGTGTCTCCAACTGAGCGGCTTCCTCATCAGCTGCCTCGGCTGGCTCGGCATCATCATCGCGACGGCCACCAACGAATGGGTGAACTTGTGTAAATACGGTTTGAACACCTGCAAGAAGATGGATGAGCTGGGAGTCAAGGGACCCTGGGCGGAATGCGTCATCTCCACAGGACTGTACCACTGCGTGTCCCTGACGCAGATCCTGGAACTGCCAGGTAGAAGTTCTTCTGTGCACATACTTGTTTTATACAGCGTTTGATTTCTCACTTGATGTTATTCAATCTGATATCCCAGCTCCTGTTCATACTTATTTAACTTAGGTTGTAACTTCAGGAGTGAAGTTTTTCATGTATTTCTTTATTGTGGTATTGCATATGTTTCATACAGTCTATGTGTTTCCACAGCCTACATCCAGACCGCACGCGCCCTGATGGTCACAGGTTCAATCCTGGGTCTCCCAGCTGTGGGGATGCTCCTCATGTCCATGCCCTGCATCAACCTTGGCAACGAGCCGCAGAGCTCCAAGAACAGACGCACCATCCTGGGAGGAGTCCTCATACTCATAGTCGGTAAGAAGCTTCACATGTAGGGCAACTCAACCTATTCGGACAAAGCTTGAAGGCCATGGCCAAAAAAATGTCAATTAGAGCCGAACTCACATGTACTCACCAAGATCCCCTCTGACCCCCCTGATGCTGACCTTTTTTAACCCCACCTCAAATGCTAACAGAGAGCAGAGGATGTTGGATATGACTGTCTTCCTCCCTGGGGTGCGCACATATGCACACACTTACACACACACACACACTTACACACACACACACACTTATATGTTCCTGTTCCATTGAACCCCCCCCCCCCCCCTAGATCCCACCACATTCCTCTCCTCCACCTACTTTCATCCACACCCTGCTTTTGTCCTGCACCACATGGAAACTCGCCCACTGAACTGTCCACTTTTACTTTGCTTAAAAACATTGAGTTCTGCAGCATTTTTTCCAGCGCGTGTCCCTCAAATGAAACTTCCACTCCCCATTTTTGTCACAGCAAAACTATTTCCAACTTCCAAAGCAGCCTATATCCCCCAAACTCAAATGTCACCATATATACAAAATAGCTAAAGCTCTTAAAAGATTTTGTCCCGAGGAACACTTTATGTTTGTTTACGCAATTGCACAGCAGAATTAAAATCCACTTGTCCTCCTGCCCTTCACTGCCTCTGCGCCGGCAGCAAAAAGGATGCCAGCGACAATTAGTCTGAGTTCAACTTTAATTATGTTTGTTTACAGGCTCCTCTGAAGGATCCATTGGGAGGCTTTCGATTCACTTTTTTCCCCATTATAGTGCAGTATTAAAAATGTGTTCGCTGTAAATTGACTTGATGCTGTTGTCCTGCGTTGTCCTCTGAGGCCCACTGGCAGAAGTCCAACGTGTACTACAGGAGATGTGTCCCTGTCAGGGGAGGTCAATATTTGTACAGGTCTTGAAAGAGGCTAAGCACTTCCTCTGTAGTTCAAAGCAAAGTTTTAATAACACCATTAAGTCTCACTGCTCACAAATATTATTCTACACATTCTTTCTTTCAGTCCGTCGTTCTCTGGAGTCCTGCAGTGAAGATTATAAAAATATAATCAAACTCTTAACAGCTTGATTTTTTGAAATGCTTCCCTCTATTCTTGCTCTAACTTTTGAAGACATTGTCAAATCGCTCTTATCTTATCTTCAGTACAGTCACTCTGAGGTCAGACAGTTTGTGAAGTTCTGATATAAGATGCCTGACAGCTCACATTTTATCTGAATGGAAACTCAGTGGATGGAGTTTAAACATGGGCGTTACCTACTGCTTGGAGTTAACAGAATGAGGCCACAGTTTAGTTCATTTCCAATATGTATCCGTACTTTTTAATTCCATCACATATTATAATAATAATAAAATTGTGCTTTTAGCTGCCCAATGTTGCCTCCTAAGTTTCATGATTACATTTTACAATCTGAATTCTGCCTCGTTGCCCCCCCACAGTATGTTGCCACATTGATATGTGCACAAGAAACGTCTCTTTGCACTATTTTGCATCCTGTGTGTCATTGTATAACATAACCGTGCATGCAAGCAATATGAATGTGTGTATCTATTCTATTCAGCGGTACCATTTCAAATCTCATCATACTGTAGTTTGTGTTTGTTCATGCACACGTAGCAAGATTAAACTTATAGGTTGCTTTAATCGTCACCATTTTGCATCCCGATTTGAAAGTTGTTTGTTTTTAAATGGCACCACTTTTAACAGCCTCTCTGTCTCTGTCTCCTCAGCGTTGTGCGGTATGGTTTCCACGGTCTGGTTTCCCATCGGTGCTCACCAGGAGCAAGGCCTCATGTCGTTTGGCTTCTCCCTCTACACCGGCTGGGTGGGCACTATTTTCTCTCTGACGGGCGGCTCCATCCTCACCTGCTGCTCATCGGACTCCTCCTCCTCCCGCTCCTACCAGGACAACAACCGCTTCTACTACTCCAAACAGGGAGGAGGCAACCAGCCAGCCGCCCCCTCCACCAATCACGCCAAGAGTGCCCACGTCTGAGCCGGGAGAGATTCAGGATCTCTCGTGGAAGTGTAGGGGGACTGTAACTATAGTCTGTATATAGAGACCTATACATAAGAGCAAACACACACATATTCACATTCAGCACAGTACGTATTAGATGCAAACCTGTACTGTAGGAGGAGGCTCATTCACACACTCACTCCTGTTGGTTTAAAGTAGAAGGGAAACAAACACGTACAGAAAAGAGACATTCACACATCCAAACACACAAAGACTGCTTTTGTTGGAGCTCTTTTTCCATCAAAGGATTGTTTTTGCATCTCAGAGCTCGTCTTCCTCCGGCCTTGTCCTGAGTGCGGATTCAAACCATCAAGTTTATAATCACCTGAGGTCTCGTGGACTCAAATATTGATCTTCTATATTAGTTCTATTTTTCTATTATGCATCTATTGAGAAGAAATCTCATGAGCGGCTTTGTTGATAATCACATTTTAAAATCATGATCTGTTGTTTTGAAAAGAGCAGGGTATGACAGTGTTAACATTGTTTATCTTCCTCTTTTTATGTCTATTGAACAACTCTCCGGTGCTTTTTGCTTCTTGAGTGATGAAAAGAAGGGTGGCACTGTTTTTTTTATCTATCTTCTTAAGGACAACAAGTTAAATGATGAGAGATTAAAATCCCAGGAGAGCTTTAGCTTTACATTTTCACAGTCTGCATCAGAGCCGTAATATGTGCACTGACCTGGCAAAAACAACTTAGAAAAGAAAACGTTCATGTTTTGTCCAGATCTGCCATTTTACAGTGTTTCCTTATCTAAAATCACCTTACACATTCATCTTTGACTAACTTACTTAATCATTTTAGATGTGGACAACAACCGAGAGACAAAACAGCAGCTTATCCTGTAACTAATTCCATAAAATTGTTCTTTGAAAAGGTATTTACCACTAGTATGTGTTTAAAAATCAGTATTATGTAGATTAGCTTCTCTTGAAGGAACGCGATGACTTGAATGTTCAGTTTCTCAAACGTGCTCTGATCTGCACAGATGGAACCTTGTATTCCAAACTGGATATTTCCACCTCAGACACACGAGGAAGCAGTGTTAGCTGGTTATTTATTGTTTCATTGATGAGCTATTGTTTGATTTTATACAATAAAAAAGATACAATTATCAAAACCGCCTTTGTCTGTAATCTTTCACCGTGAGAAGATACGATTTTTCCCACGTCACACACCAGTAGAAACGCAGCAGACAGGAGGGGGTGTGTGTGTTTGTGTGTGTGTGTGTGTGTGTGTGTGTGTGTGTGTGTGTGTGTGTGTGTGTGTGTGTGTGTTTGTGTGTGTGTGTGTGTGATGTACGGGAACAACTTTGTTATGCTTT